CTACTACTACTACTACTACTACTACTACTAGGACCTACCACCTACCACCTACTAGTTTTTTGATGAAATCCCAAAAAATGTCTAGGGCTCAGGGCTTATAAATTGCCTTACCCCTCACAAGGGCCAGTCCCCCATCAATAATCTGCACTACTACCCCCTATTGATTTGATCCTGTGTCCCTGGCCTTTTGTTTGTGCTTGTTTAAACTTATTGTGACTACTACTACCTACTACCTACTACCTCCTAACTACTAATTACTAATTACTAACTACTATATAACTACTAACTACTAACTACAACAACAACAGCAACAACAACAACAACAACTACTACTCCTGCTACTACTGCTACTACTACTGCTACTGCTGCTGCTACTGCTACTGCAACTGCTACTCCTACTCCTACTCCTACCACTACTACTACTGCCACTCCTACTCCTACTCCTACCACTACTACTGCTACTACTACTACTACTGACGACTACGACTACCACTACGAGTACGACTACGACTACGACTTTTCCCTGAGCAGATTATTCAGGGGAGGTGGGCCTCATGAATGGTACCTCAGACCTTCTAGACCTTCTAGACCTTCCACGTGGGGGGGGGTGGTTTATTAATTCCTTCAGTATTCAACTCCCTTAGGGCCTTAGGGTTTCAAAACCTTCTGGTTAAACATAGAATTTTAAGACCTACAATCTTTAGCTTTAGGCACCACAAAAACAGAATCCGCCGATGGCCACAAATAGCGTGGAACTCATCTGGGGATTCTTGGCCGTTCTTCCTCAATTTCGCACTATTCTGTCTTTGTTTACTACCAGCCTTTCTGTTTGGGCGCTTGGCCGGTCGCTGTTTCTTCGGTATGGGTGCTCAGAATTCAGTCACAGCTCAGGCTCTTTCATGGGTGTGCGCTGCTGCCTGGTGTTCTCGTTGTCATGGTTGCAGTGGGTTTGGTGGCTGCGTCTTTGTTCGTTCCGCGGCTGGCTGAGCAGAAGCTACAATCAAGTTTTTGGCCCCTGTGTGAAAAACATCCGTCCGGCGAATGGTCAAGCATAGAAGGCTTTTGCACTTTGCGACCATCGAAGGCTATTTTTCTTTGTTTCCCTGAGTCCGCTCTTGCAATTTGCAATTCCACTTCTGCCTTCGCAGGCTGCCATTCTGCAGCTTCCTAGCTTTGTGGCGTGCCTTTCCGAACTGTTCGTCCTATTTGCGCAGTCCACCTGTCCGCAAATTTGCTCCTTTGACTTTGCCTGCCTTCTGCGCAGTCCGACTGTCCACAAGACCCTTCTTCCGACTTCACCTTCTATCTTTGCACCCAGCCCGACTCAGAGTCCTTTCTTCCAACTTCACTTGGAGACAACCCTCGTGCTGGGTGCTGTTAGACTTGATGCCTGACGTTATAGGAATCCAAGACGTATTATGATCTAGAGCCAGGAAGAATCTCCTCACAGGTCTATATACTGCTAATGAAAGGACACATCGCTTGGAAAACCTAGACTAAGACATTCTCGAGGATTTATGAGGACTTAGGGACTCGAATCCCAAAGCCACAAAACTCCACCTTGCCATTCTCCATCCTAAATCTCCAGCCTCTTAGACTAAATCCCAATTGCCCAGACCTTACACACCCCAGACTTCATACACTTGTGGGGATGCAGCGGAGGGAGACACATGCAGTACAGTGTGCAGAATTTCGGGCTCTTAGCTTTTGAGCGTTTGGTCAGGGCCATTGACTGTTGGGCATCAGCGCAGCAAAGGCAGGGGAGTCGTAAAACCACTTCACTACGGGCTCAAGACCATTCAAAACCTGTGTCATGCGAGTGGCTTTGGTTGCAAAGTGTTGCCGACTTGAAGGTGATCGATTAACTCTTCCGTTGGATGTGGGGGGTGTGTGGTATGAGGGCGTGTGCCAAATGCAAGCAAGCCTTGAAACCATCCACCCAATCTCGCAAACGCACCCCCTGCCGCAGCTGCAGAATGCAACATGAAGGGAAGCCAGAAAAGCAATGCAAGCTATGTACAGAACATCCAACACATGCGAAACAAAGCGCTTCTCGCCTTCTTCATCTTCTCCCCGCAGCACTTATTTGATCAGGTCATGGCCATTGGCTGTTTGATATCCATTCACATTGTCTACAGGCTACATCCCACCAAACAGATTTTGTGCGATCGTGTACCAAGTCAGTCAAACCGCCTGGAGGGCTTCGGCTGTAGCTTAACCAACCCAACAGCAACCAAAGGGGCCCGCAAATTGCAGTCGTCTGAGCATCGGCCACCTTGCTAACTCTGGCTCTCAACCAACACAAACTGCTATTTCCCAAGATTGGAATTATTTGCAAAGCTATGGCTGCACACAAGTGTCCCAGAACCCCGCCCTCTTCACAAAGGAAACCCAAACACGACCCCAAGACCCTAAACCAAAATCTTTAAAGTTTAAAGTGTTCGTCGAGAAGCGCGCCAGTCGCAAGGTTGAGGAAAGTGCTTGAGAAGGAACGCATGGAACATGCATCAATGTTATAACTGCTTTGTGGTCAAGCAATGCAGTGTGAGGCAAACGTTGGATCAACACGACATTCATTTCTTGTCAACCGCTGGCGGCGCACTGCATGCCAAAGGCATCATGGCACTTGGGCTTGCAAGACAGTCTCCCACAAGCCTACTTCTTTGGCGGTAACACCATTTGATCTTGCTTTCTATATCTCAGCACAGCCTCTGGTTGTCCACGGACAAACTTTTCCAATGTCTTGTAGCCTCAGCACCCAAAGTGCTGCTATGCTAAGAAAACAAACAGCACGTTGCCCTAGTAGAGCGTGGCTACCCCTTGGGTAAGAATCGTTTGTCCCTGCTTGTGCACAACTGGAAATATCAAGATCAACAACGATTGGGCCTGGTTTTGCGTTTTGTCCCTGATGTGCCAGCTTTGGTTCCAAGTTGGGACAATACTGCATTTGTCTTGTGGAGCGATTGGCTCATCTCCGTTCAAGGAACCTTGGACATCGGCATTTCCTAACTCCAGGTTCCTGGGCGGAGAAGGTTGAACTTCTCGGCACTTAGCACGCATGGAAGAAGGATACAAATCTACTCCACTGTCGAACCCTTCTCTTTGCTTGGCACAAACATATCCAAACACTGCATGCTGTGCACCAGTTTGGTTCTTTCTTCGTCCCTACCAGTGCACACCCCAGTGCTCACTCCGTTCCATCGCTCTCCTTTGCAGCCAAACCCATACCCCACCCATGCATTTCCAATTGGCAAACCTCCATGTTCAGGAGACGGGGAGATCATTTTAGTTTGGAGGCGGGGGACAGCTTAGCATCTCTTGAATCAAGGGGGTTCCATCTGCACCAAATCAATCTCATACATCAATGTCACAACTTCACTGCTCCACTACCCAAGTCATCTATGTACCATAGCATTTGGTGGCTAGTCTGTTCAAGGCCCACAACCTCGAGCCCTACCAAGCGCGGCCTTCTTTTTGCTTTCTTCAAGGCTCAGACTGTTTTTGAAAGCGTGACGTGGTTTACAGTAATGGTTTGATATACAAGCAGTTCCCGGGCAAGCCGGCGGCGGAAGCTATAAAAACAATTTGGCCTACAGGAGCGTCTCTTCGCACATGCCCTGCGGACACCCTTTTCTCCCGGCCCGCAACGATGGGTTCATGCAAGTAGCCCACAACGGTGTAGTCGCTCTGGCACTGTGCATGCAGTGGCTTCTTCTTTTGCTTTTCGTCGGTGCTTCACAGCAACGCACCGAAGCCCAAGAGCGCAGCCGATGCGTCACCGACTCACCACATCCCTTTTTCCCACACAGTGCAAAGAGTCCTGCGCGGTAGCTGTCTGCGCGGTCCACAGCGACGCGCGCAGACCGATGCCTCTCGGCAAGGAACAACTGGCGGCGGGGTTGGTGGGTCACACCACCGCACGTCGGAGTGAATGTAGTTACGCAGGACTCCGAATTTGCGTGTAAAACCTGTCGTGCGCGCAACCAGAGTCTTAACAATGAATGCAACCAAAGACTGTAAGTATGAACTGTGCCAAAAACTTCAACCATAAGTACAAGCTGACCTGTTAACGAAAAGACTCATCTGCAACCAGTGTTGGGTTCGACGTCAAGCAACCAAAACAGCCGCGGAATGTAGAAGGCTTCGTTTTTCGACAGCGTCACCCTTTGGAAGGAAACTCACTGAGTGACTCACTATATCTATCTGACAGCCAGGTCCACAACTTGCATTCGGAATGCTACTTGACATCCTTCCAAACCGTTTTAGCTAACTGGAGGTAAAGCTGACTGTAGAGCAACACTTGCAGTCACATTTACAGTGCGGAAGCCATCCAGGAGTTGCAAAACACAATGGAATGGGCGATTCGAGCGTGATCCGAGAATGATCCGAGGCATGACGCGAGGACGTTCCGCAACCGTCGTTCCGCAGAGCTTGACTTGCCAGGTTCGGAGCCTCCCTTTGTATTGAAAAACAGAGCATTTCGTGCGTCCGCTATCTCTCGAAAATGCATTTTGTACGGGACATCCTTCCAAAGTGCATGTTGAACACTTGCAAAACGAAGCCCTTCTGCGAGACTTCCTTCCAAAATGCATGTTGTAGAGCTGACTGGAGCTAGAGCTAACTAGAGCTAGAGCTGTTGAAAAATGCATTTTGTACGCGATTTCCTTCCTAAAATGCATGTTGAACACCTGCAAAACGAAGCAATTCTGCGAGACGTCCTCCAAAAATGTAACTGGAAGACATGATCCAACCAGACATGAAAGTGCCATTTACATTGCGGGAACGATCCTCAAACTACAAGGTCCACGGCTGATAGACGGCCGTGGTGTAAATCAATGATGGTCGTGGGTTAATCATGTCGAAATGCGCGTAATTCCATTAGGAATGATGTGCCCAACGTTTCATCAGTGGAATCATGGTCAATTCCAAGCAGATTTGCCTGAAATGAGAATTTCGCTGAGGCGAAATGCTGATTTCGAAGCATTTTCGAAACTAAGTAACTAATTGGGCCGTCGGAATAAGTTGCGACTTTTTCAGTCTTCACAAGAGCTCTTCCAAGCGGCGCAAGAACTGAGCCGGTGTGGCATAGGTCAAGCTTTGGCGCCAAGCCCACATGTACACGTACTGCGGCACGCTGGGATGCATTTGGATGTGATTTCTTTCTTTGCATTTCACAACTAGGTTGGCCGGCAAAAAAGCCTTTAAACTCTGCCAGCTTCTATCGAGCATCTGCCACAGGACAAAGCCGCGGGAAACAAAACGTGCCTGTGAGTGTGACTACGCCACTGATTCCACAGCGCAGGACCCAAAGCAGCCACAGCTTTCAAAGAAACTGAGTGAGAGCGGCGAGCGAGCAAGAGCGAGGGAAATGCAAACTTGCGTGGCTTCGTCTCGCACCCTGCACAAGTGCAACACCCCACCCCACCCCCCACCCCATTCCCACATGTAGCATCCACATCCCCCTCAAGCAAACATGCAAAAACGACAGCATAGAACACAAAAAAGCAAGAAAAAAGCAAGAAAACACCACGTCCGTCTATCAGCCGTGGGCCAACTACAAAACACAATGAAATTCCAGCGACAACTCATCCACCAGCAACACTTGCAGTCACATTCACAGCGCGGAAGCCATCCAGGAGTTGCAAAACGCAATGGAATTCCATCAACAGCACGTACACAAGAAACATGTGAAAACTCTAGTTACAATGGAGGGACGATTCGAGCATGATCCGAGCATGCTCCGAGAATGATCCGAGCATGACCGAGCATGATGCAAGGACGTTCCGCAACCGTCGTTCCGCAGAGCTTGACTTGCCAGGTTCGGCGCCACCCTTTGTGTTGAAAAAAATCCGCTATCTCTCGAAAACGCATTTTGTACGAGACTTCCTTCCAAAGTGCATGTTGAACACCTGCAAAACGAGGCCATTCTGCGAGACTTCCTTCCAAAATGCATGTTGAAGAGGTGACTGGAACTAGAGCTAACTAGAGCTAGAGCTGTTGAAAAATGCATTTTGTACGCGACTTCCTTCCAAAATGCATGTTGAACACCTGCAAACCGAAGCCATTCTGCGAGACTTCCTTCCAAAATGCATGTTGAAGAGCTGACTGCAACTAGAGCTAACTAGACCTTTTGCACCCTAAACTTCCTTTGATTATACATATATATATATACAGCACCTACACACTACCTATGCTCTGTCTTCTCTAAGAATGCCTCCTGACAAAAATATGTTGTAGAATCACGGTCCTGGATGGGCCGATGCTACAGAACATCGGCTTTCTATCAAGTCATTACCCAACTACTCGATACCCAATTACTCGATAGAGAAAGTTCGATACACAGTATTGGATGAAGCAGGAGGACCTTCTTAAGGCCATCTACACACCGAGGTTTTAAAATGGCACCAAAGTTCTTCTGACAGGTTTCAAAGTGATGTGTCGGATTGGGGCTTCGGAAGGGCCTTGTCCAAGCTTTCTTGGCTTCGGGGGTGGTACTTGCCCCAAGCCGGCAAGCTGAGCCTTTTGCGGTCAATTCTGACAGAGACGGCCGTGACTAAGGAGAGAATACGCGAGAAGGAGATAGTTTCGTCAGTGTTGCTGGCGTAGCCGCCCGCTGACCGAATCTCCTCAAGTAAACACGAGTAAAACAAGCTTCTCTTGACTGCAGTCAAGCCACCAAGTTTTTCTGGCGCAAAGCCTTTGACCTGGGACAAATTAGTTGCATCTATGTACCCAAAAATCAAAAACATCCCTAAGCAACAAAAGCAGCCAGCAGCCTTTTTGTCGTAGTGCTTTGAGAGATGCATGGGTCCTCCCCAGACCCCCTCACCCGCTCGGGCCTGACACATTCTATGCCTCTGGGCCTGTCAGGAGACCATGGGGTCTGGGGTCAGGAGGACCCCCGCCGGATCCGGTCACGGGATCTTGGGTGGGACGCTAGGGAAAAGTTCGTACTCGACAAAAGGCGAGTCGCCATCCGAAAGGAAAACAAATCAATCGGAGCTCTTGGACGAGAGGTTCAGTAAGCTGAAGATGTTGCCTGAATTGTCACTGCCTACAGGTAGTCGGACTCTGCCCAGTGCAGGGCCGTGTTGGCGTTTGCACAGGAGCAAGGTACGCAGCAGCTCAAGTGCCGCGATCCGTTTCTGGGGGTTGCCATCTTTGAAAGCCCATGGATGTTCGGCAGGCTTGATCTGGTAGTGGAACCAGAAGACCTCCGCCTTGGAGGGATGGGTGGCATCGCTGCACCATCTGCCCACGTAGGCATCTCCTTGGGCTGAAGCGCTAGAATCGCTGCATCCCCACCAAGGAGACAGGAATGAGGGGTACTGCTCAAAGGGAAGAGTGAAGAGCTCTTTTAGGAGATAGGCAGCGCGCGGACCACCTTGGGTGGATGTCCCATGCTTTGTACGGCCATCTTCCAAGCCCAGAACGGCTGCAGCATGGATTTGGTTAGTGGGCAACAGGCTGTGGCCCACTGGACGCGGCCCATGGCCTTCTCGATAGCCTTGGCAGACATAGCTAGCCACCCTGTTGATAAAGTCCTCCAAGACAGCCGCGACCTTCAAACTTGACCCTAAGCTGTGGACAATCTGGAGCACACCCGTGTGGAAAACATGCTGGAACACATGCTTCAGCGCTTCTCCGAGATGGATGTCTCGACTACACCCGGTTTACGGGATCTCCCCGCTGCTCAACAACACACCGTCCTGGATGGACTTGTCCATACGCTGACGACTTATCGAGAGAAACTACAGGCTGCTGTTGATCAACAAACACAGTCTACACCTGCGACAGCCGCTCCACCACACAACTCCTCAGATCTACCGCTCTCACCTGTTGCTGCTGGTGTGGAAGTGCCTGTCCCCGATTCTGCTTCAATGTCCCTGACCTCATCATCGACCTCCCCACCGAATACGTTGCCACCTCCGTTTCCTTCCACGACTGAGAGCTAGGACTACGTCCTCTTTTTGGGTTGAGGCCGTACGCGCTTCCCCATGTCTCGCCTCGTACGACCTCTTCAATCTGAAAACAACTTGTTTTCACACCTGACACGTTTTCACACCCATGACCATTTGCCCCACTCCTCTGTACATTGACCCTCTCACTGATTTATTCCCCGCAACCATTTCAGCTTACCCAACTATCCCGGTATCCCTCCCCCACGATGATCTCTTCACCCGGACTTCGCGTTCCTGAACCTTTGACTCAGTTGATTCCTACTGACTGGAGAGCTATACGGCAACCTTTCGAAACTCTTGATCATGTACCTCATCTCTCCACCGTCCGATTTGAATTGGACATCAGCCTCTTGGTCTATCAACCGCTCAACTATATCACTGTCACCCTTGACACGTCCCAGCTCAAGACCAAGGAATATACTGTTGACGACTTCAAAGATGTGATCTATTCCCGCATTGGACACCAGCGCACCTCATTTTGGATGGCCCTTCCATCTACCGGCGATTCCAGGGTTTGGGAAGTCCCACACACCTCCACACTTGAGGATCTTGTTCTTTACTACGTCAACTCTCGACAGCTTCGTGTGCTTGGTATCCCACATGAATATTCACGAGATGCCATACCTTGTCCCTCCTGCCCTCTTCACACAGTCGCCCCACGGTTACATGACGACGCCATTTGTCAACTTCGCGTTCCACTCACTGCCTACCAAACCTTCCGTGAACTTCGTCAGTTTCGTTAGTTTCACCCAACTTGCCCGGCTCGGCGCTTAAAATATGCCTGCCCTTGGGGAGGCGTGTGTGTGTGTGCCCCTTGTAGTCACAGGGATCCGTTTGGATAGTACTTTTGACTCCGTTTTCATTTTTTGAGCAGGGGCGTACGGCTCGTCATACCCACCGTACGCAACGAAGCTACGGTATGACGAGGGAGGGCTGGACTGATCATCCACCTGCACCTGCCTGATTTTAATTTTGCTGAGTTGAGCTTGACACTCCGCAGACTTGCGCGCTACGTCGTCACCCTGTCGTTTCGACTTCGACTTGCGAGTTTGGCCCCACTTCCTCTTGAAGACCTCCAGGATCCAGTGGCTCTTACTTATACCCTTAGGAATTGGTACCCTAGGCCGGCGTGTGGCACCGCTTTCAGTTCAGTACACCCTATCCTAAGTGTGTGTGTGTGTCCACCTCTCTAACTAAGAGTTTCTGTTTTTCTCAACTTTTAAGTCGCAGGGGGCGTGACGGCACGCCAACGAAGCTAGGGAAATCGACTGGAGGGAAGTTTGGACGCAAACTTCTGTACCTGCGCGGATGAAAACTTTTGCGCAAGCTGTGACTCCACTTTTCCTTTTGTTGTTTCCATGGTGGTTGTTCGCATGATATCCCCCAAAACAGGTTTCCTTAGCTTTGGTAAAGTGCTAGTGCGTGCGTTAAGCAGTTCTGTTCTTTGGACCCTTGCACCTTACCGTTCTTGCAGTAAAGGGCTAATGCAGTAACTAGCTTCCGCAGTCAAGTGAACAACACCTTTGTTAAAACACCTTCAAGTGCTCCGACTCTTTCACCTTTCGGTTCCACCGCCATTTTTCCTGGGAATTGAGTTAACTGCAAACCAATGTCAGAGTGTGACTCGCTCAGTCGTCCCACTTGGGTGCTGGGTGTGATCCTCCGCAAGGAGGCGCTGTTTTCATTCCGGAAATCGTGTAACTGACTCCACCGTTCTCCACCTCTCTTTGGATTTTCTTAACCGCTTTAGTTTCACTACTGGATTTACTGAATTTGATGCCGTCGGGCTTACGAAAAACCTCCACTTGCATTTCCATGTGCTGCGTTCCCATGTGAGGAATTGAGACCAGTGAAGCTACTGTCCACACTTGCACTTCCACCCCCCCACCTTGCAACCTAATTCGTGTTTCTACCCCACCCGCTATCTAGGGTAACAGAAGGAAATGGTGCTCGACACACTTGTGTGTCGGTACCTTTCCTTCTGTTTCTCCTTTTCTACTCCTAGCTACCCGGGCGGTTTAAGACGTATGTCCCCTTCGCTAACTACTGCATTTAATTCATTCGGCTAAGTAGTCAGTAACTAGCAGGTTTCGTAACTAGCGGGCCTTGGCACTACACCTATCTTTCTCTCTTTCCGATATCGGCGTTCTGTGTGTGTCCACCTCTGTAACTAAGAGTTTCTGTTTTTCTCAACTTTTAAGTCGCAGGGGGCGTGACGGTCGATTTCCTAGTCACGCCAACGAAGCTAGGGAAATCGACTGGAGGGAAGTTTGGACGCAAACTTCTGTACCTGCGCGGATGAAAACTTTTGCGCAAGCTGTGACTCCACCTTTCCATTTGTTGTTTCCATGGTGGTTGTTCGCATGATATCCCCCAAAACAGGTTTCCTTAGCTTTGGTAAAGTGCTAGTGCGTGTGTTAAACAGTTCTGTTCTTCGGACCCTTGCACCTTACCGTTCTTGCAGTAAAGGGCTAATGCGGTAACTAGCTTCCGCAGTCAAGTGAACAACACCTTCGTTAAAACACCTTCAAGTGCTCCGACTCTTTCACCTTTCGGTTCCACCGCCATTTTTCCTGGGAATTGAGTTAACTGCAAACCAATGTCAGAGTGTGTTGTGTTGTTTGTCTGTGGGCGTGTTGTTTTCCAAACTGCCGGTTTTCCAAGCCCACAAAAACTAGACGACGGTTGGCCCGAGAGCGAGACATGTACTTGTCCAGCACTGTCGAAAAGATGTATAGAAAGAGAGAAAGAGAGGGTGGATGTGAAGGAGTGACAGTGTGGATGTGCAGGTGCGATATAGATCTGTTTTTTATACTGTGGATGTGAGCGTGCGAAGACGATGAAGATGTAAATGCTCAGAGACGAGAGAGAAAGACAGGACAGATGTGAAGGAGCGACAGTGTGGATGTACAGATGTGATATAGATGTGCAGATGTGTGGGTGTGGTGAGGTGGAGAGGTAGATCTGCGGATGTGAGCGTGTGAAGATCTAAACGTAGAGAGGTGAGGGGGTGTAGACGTAGATGCGTCGATGCAACGGCAGCGCAACGTCAACCTTAGTTGTGCAAGTACAACGCTGAAGAGGTTCAATTAGAACTGAAGAACGTACCTTTCACACTGAAGTTTCCACGAACAGGGCGACCTGAGAGTAAACGACGTCACGATCATGACAAGCGACTCGTGTATTCCAAGCGAACATCGTTTGTCATGAAGGTGAAGTACACACATACTAACGTCACGATGACTCTTTTGTGGCAGCCACTTATGAGTAAGCAAAGTCGCTAAAATTTGTCAACCTCTCAAGAGAGGTGGGTGGTCGGGAGACATGGCTCAGCTGCAGGGACGCCAGAGCAGCCGCGAGAGATGACTCAGCCGCGAGAGATGACTCATCCGCGTACTAAAGTTGTACTACAACAGTTCTCAGCTTCCAGCTCCACAGCTTGCTCCGCGTACTAAAGTTGTACTACAAAGTCGCCAGTTCTCATCTCCAGCTCCCCAGATACTCCGCGTACTAAAGTTGTACTAGAAAGTCGCCAGTTCTCATCTTCCAGCTCCCC